GAAGTGTACCCTTGCAAACCAGGACAACCTTGATGGTCAATCCTCTTATAGAAAGTGGTAAACTGTACAAAGTAGCAAGTAATGTTTGCAAATGCAGACTTTACATGCTAACCACTTTGCTAGCCAGGTACACTCTGGAGGAATCAACTAATTGATGCAGATGCAATGGGATATGTAATACTGCTTGATCCAGACTTTGCTTCTGTGGTTGTTTCTCCACGTCTTGCAAAAGAGATTTGCAAAACACTACATTCAGAAACATCAGCTGGACATGGTTGAATACACCAAGTCTTGGTTAATGAATAAACTTGTCTTAAACTGGCTTATTGCTGGTCTCTCAAGGCTTCCTATTTTTGTTCACTTTAGTCTCTCAAAAACTTCAGAGAAAAACTATGAGTCTCAAAATGCTTATAAGCAGGAACAGGCTGATTTTACTACTAGGAATAATCTGTTTTCAACAAGGTAAATCTGCAACTCTTTCACTCCCCAAAGGTAAGTTTCAAATGAACTCTATAATTACTTTTGTCTGAACCTTTGCTGGCAATGGACATCACAACTCCACTCCATGTTCCTTTGGGAAAATAGGAGAAGCAAATATATTTTGGAGATCTAATTGTTTTTAAACAATTATTTTGGATTTATCTCCTGCAATCAGCATAGGACATGGGGCAAATCATTTATAGAATGCAACTAATGTTTCCAATTAAGTGAACAATCCCTGTTTTCTTCACTTAGTTTCACTAAGTGAACTGAGATTATTCACTCACTTGGGCCCATTACATAATCCCATCTTCATTCATAGAACAAAGTGGAAATCGGCATGGATTTGGAAGAATTTTTAATCTTTTGCAAAATCATCTTGCTGAGAAATATGAAGCATGTTCACTGTAGTATATTGTAAATGTACTTTTTTTCCCCTTCAATTCACTTAAGCTGAAAACAGTTCTTGGCAGACTTCTTCATGGTCAGACTTGTGCCAACCCTGAGAAACAACATGTTTTCTGACTTTGCTTCAGTGAATTTGGGAAATGGTAAATTTTGTATTTAAAGTATTTATGACTAATTCAACTAAAACAGTTAGAAAACAAGCTTTGTATCCAATGGCATCCTGGCACTAGGTTCAGGATTAAAACACTTATTGTTATATCCATGTTCTGCCATTATTCGGCTGTGCATCTTCATCTCTTTGATTCTTAGTTTTCTCATCTGTAATTTGGGGATAACAGTGCTTCATTTATAGGCATAGAGTAGGATTAAATAAGAAGCTGTATGAAAGAGCTTTGAATATTTTAACATGTTGCTCTAAATAGCTATGCTCTTAAAGATATGTTCTCAAGAAAAATCGTTTGTTCATCCATCCAGCATTTCTAAGTGCTTACTTATGCCAAGAATTGTGCTAAACCTTAGAAATACAAAGGTGAATAAGACAAGTTTTGTCCCTTGAGTAGTTCATAGTTCAATGATGGTGGCAAATAATTCATTATCACAATTCTTCATGGCAAGAACTATAAAAGGGGCAAAGAAAGAGTGCTGCACAACACAGGAGAGAGGCAAACCCAGTTTGAGGAAATCAAGGAATACTTCCTGGTTGAGGTGATCTCCAAGCTGGGGAACAAGAATTACAAAATCTAGGTAGGCAATAAAGCATGGTAATTATGAGGCAAGCCTAGTTCTAATCCTCCTTTGAAATATGGAAAAGGATGACCTCCAGGAGGGACAGCAGATGTGCATATCCCTGAGATACCAGGTGGTGGTAAACATCTTTAATCTAGCCTATCTCTTGGCTGAGAGTCAGGAATCCATATCCCTGAGATACCAGGTGGTGGTAAATATCTTTAATCTAGCCTATCTCTTGGCTGAGGAGTCAGAAAACCCATTGAGGGCAAAGAAATGAACACAACTTTTTCAGGGATAAAGTCTTTTACATAAAAAGGAAGGATTTTTTTCTTCTATTACCTGGCAACCCTCTAATCGAGCACTGACTTGTGAATCAGGACACTTCATTCTACTCTCCTTAAACAACTTGTCACTTTCCATCCTTCAGGAGAATTAAATCCAATAAAGATTTATTGATATCTGACTGTGTGCTAGGCACCATAGACTATGGTCTCAGACTCCCTTTCACAGATGAAATAGAGAAGATATGTCCTTAGTCCTAGAAGACATCTAATCATTTAATGTTTGTCTTATTTTTTTCTCAGCTCCCAGTTGTGGGCAGAGTCTGGTTAAGGTAGAGCCTTGGAATTACTTTAATACTTTCAGTCGCATTCTTGGAGGAAGCCAAGTGGAGAAGGGCTCCTATCCCTGGCAGGTGAGTATCAAGGACTCCTATGCATCAGGAACTGTGCTAGATATTATGGGTATAGATATTTCTAAGGTTAAGTTTATATCTTTGAGGAGCCTACAGCTTAGCTGGGTTGAAAGACACAGAATAGTCATAATGGCATGTGATGAATGTCATAAGAAAAAATTATTTACTTGTACATAGTAAGTCATTTTAAAATCAAATAGGATAAGCAAAAATTTGAAAGTATATTGGAGAGGTAGAATAAAGAATAGGCTTGAAGAAGCTATAGGGGTCAAATAGTTAGTTAGGAATATGATAAAAATGGTAGATCCAAACCATTTTCCTAAGAGGCTTAGAGAAATTGGAGCATGTGTTGAAAGGCTCCCCAGCCCTCATCTTGCCTTTGTCCCAAACCTCCTCAGCTGGACTCTACTATATCTTATACTCCTTTATCTTCATTCACAGACACTGTTTATATTGTTAGAGCAACTGGTTTTGGTCAACAGTGTTATAAAAATAAATAAATACATACCAGCACTTCTAATTGCTACCTCTGTTGACATTTTTACTGCCAATCATCTCAAATTAACTACCCCTCATCTATACAGTTGCTAGCACCACTCTTCTTTCTGAGCAGTAGTGTGTGGGCTTTATCCTTTCACAGTCTATGATTCCCGATATTTATGAGTGAGATTTCTAAGTCTGATTCTGAGAATAGGCTTCATCACCATGTTTAGGGGGATCCCAGTGCATGAACTTGCCCTCAAAGGTATTTGCAATTTAGGTGTCTCTGAAACAAAGGCAGAAGCATATCTGTGGAGGAAGCATCGTCTCGCCACAGTGGGTGATCACGGCTGCTCACTGCGTTGCAAAAAGGTAGGAAAGACCTAGCCTATGGGTGAAGATTAGACCATGCTTTCCTTGTCCTTGGAATTATCAGCAATAACTCTGTTAAAACATGCACCTATGTGATGGGTAAGTATTGCTTTAATAGAGGAAATTCTAATTGCATGACACAAATGGGGCTTGGTGACATTGTCAGATGGCACTTGGTAGACAACATATATTCTTTTCAGAGGTAAAATTCTCTTTTACTTAAAACAACTGGAAGTTAACAATAGCATACAAGTCAGATACAAAAGCATTACAAAGCAAGATTTGTGAAAGTTTTCTTAAATCTCAGTGAAAAAATACCTTGTTCATTATGCATCTGAAGAAATGGATAAAAGAAAACAAAGGGAGACCAGTAAAATAGAAAGTAGGCTCCCTGTCTTCCTATTGATCTTGCCTCTCTGGACCTCAACCCAACAACTTCCCTTTACTCACTCTCTTGTGTGATCCTTATACTCTATTATTGGCAGTGTTCTGGGTATGTACTAGGCTGTAATCAAGATCATGTTCCCGCATAGTCACTCTTTCAAGTCTGCAAACGTTTTCTGGATGTTTACTTTGTGCTAGATACCAGTGAGTACCAAAGATGACAAAATGACTAAGACATGATTTCTGCTCCCAGAGAGTTGATAGTCTAAAAGAAGAGTCAACTGATCATCTCACAGCAATGTGGCAAGTGGTAGGTAAGATAGACATTATGTGTTAAGTTAGGTACTTAATTCGGCCAAGAGTCAGGGAACTTTACCAAGAAAAAACATGCCTTTTTCAATTTTGTATAAAATCACTTTTGGGAATGAAGGGTCTTAAAGGATGGCAAGCTGAAGTCTTTATGTATCTCAATGCATACCACCAAGTTCCTTTCAGGTAACATTATAGTTAGTTATAATGCAGTCTGTACTTCATAATATACACTAAGCATAGGATCTCTAACATTGAAGTAGTATACTTACTGGGAATCACAAATCATTCCTAAAGGATCTCACATGATATTAGGTCAGGTCAACCTCTCAGGGTAGCTGAATAAAGCCCCCCTAGCTATAGATTCCTGAATTATAATGTATGTTCATCTCTAGATATTTTCAAATTACATTGCAAAATATTAAATTCATTGTACCCTTGGCTATAAATGAACCCACTCTTCACTAGTCCTCTACTGGATTTTTTTCTAATAGTGTTGGAATTATTCTCACTCTCTCTACTCAGCAGCCTCACACCCCATATTAATTATCCATATCATTTAAAAGAAGGCAGTTTGTCAATCATTGCAACTGTACCGAGAAGCACAATGAAATTCATTCATTTCACTCTTTACTTTCCATAGAAACATTCTGTCAACTTTGAATGTTACTGCTGGAGAACATGACTTAAGTCAGACAGAGCCAGGAGAGCAAACTCTCGCTATTGAAACTGTCATCATACATCCACATTTCTCCATCAAGAAACCAATGGACTATGATATTGCCCTTTTGAAGATGGCTGGAGCCTTCCAATTTGGTAAATATTTGAGGATTGTATTGAATTGTCTACCCTATATTCTCTATAACCTCTGTGCCACAGCACATTTCCTGCAGTATATGTTCTGGTCACGCACTTTGAGACAGGGATTTGGGATAAAGAGTCCTGCCTGAAACTCTTTTTGCTTGTGGTTCTGGAGGTAGCATTACATGGAGTCAGGAGAGGGTTTTCTTTATCTCACAAGTGACCCCCCGGAGGTGCCAGGCAGAGCTATCACAACTCTTACGAGGTCTTTAGGAGACTACCTGGATGCCAACAGGTGAGTGGCTTATAGTGTTCTCTTCTCCATGAATAAGATAAGCCTTACCTTGCTCTTTTCTTCAGGCCATTTTGTGGGGCCCATATGTCTTCCAGAGCCATGGGAACAATTTGAGGCTGGTTTTATTTGTACAACTGCAGGCTGGGGCCGCTTGACTGAAGGTAAGAACTTGTGTGCCACTCCTCTTAATCAGAGGTCAGAACTTTCTGGTGAGCAACCAGAAAATGGAATTTTTAATCCATTATTTAAAACAATTGTGCATATATTTTTAAAGATAGAGAATGTCACGTTGTACTTAGAAATGCAAGTCTTTTCAAGAGACACAAACACGAATGATGCATCTCTAACTCAAAAAGGGTGAAAGAGTTCCTGCTGGAGCTTCCGTCTCTGTTTTTCAGATGGCATCCTCTCACAAGTCTTGCAGGAAGTGAACCTGCCTATTTTGACCCATGAGGAGTGTGTGGAAGCTCTGTTAATGCTAAAGAGGCCCATCAGTGGGAAGACCTTTCTCTGCACAGGCTTTCCTGATGGAGGGAGAGATGCGTGTCAGGTGAGTGGGAGCAACGGGGCTGTCAGGCCCTAGGTAAGCCTTCCCTTGGTTTCGTTATCAGGTTCAGGTGAGGGGCTGCAGGAAGACTGATTCCAGGTAAGGCAGGAATCTGGAAAGAAGAGTTAGTAGTACCAAGGAAGGTTACATCAAAATAAAGGGACAGTGGAAACAATCTGTTTTTAGCAGGAAGTGTAATTTAAAAGAGGTCTTCTGCTTTTTCCGTAAGACCAAATAATAGAGAGATAATGCCAAGAATAAACTCAGGGTTCTCCTATTCCTGAAGGATGGCTGACTCTTTCCTATTTAGAAGTTTCCAGTTTGTGGATGTTGGGAACTTTATGCTTTGCCTCCATTCTTCCTGCTAACCAACACCTGAGGTCAGTTTCATTGCTGGTCAAGACTTCTCTGGGTCTGCAGTGTAAGATAAGAGAAAGAAGAAAGTCTGCTGTTTTGATGAAAGCTGTGGATAAGGAAAAGGGAGGTGGGATTGTTGGATTCCAGTGATATTTGAGAACCATATGGGAATTGTGCTGGGATCTTTAGACCCAGGTCTCTGAGTCTAAATTATTAGAAGTGAGGAGATGTCATTGTTCCTCCTCCAGGATCCTTTTGGGGAGAAAGGGAGCCCTTTGGGGCACTGACACTGACAGTGATGCTAACAGAGACTTTTTCCCTCTGCAGGGAGATTCAGGAGGTTCACTCATGTGCCGGAATAAGAAAGGGGCCTGGACTCTGGCTGGTGTGACTTCCTGGGGTTTGGGCTGTGGTCGAGGCTGGAGAAACAATGTGAGGAAAAATGATCAAGGATCCCCTGGGATCTTCACAGATCTTAGTAAAGTGCTTCCCTGGATCTGTGAACACATCCAAACTGGTAACTAAGCCATCACACAAGGTTAAGAAGCTGCCATTCCACTAGGGCCAGAGAGAGCATCAGCAGAGTCTTGGCAAATCAGAACACCTGGACAGGCTGTACCTCTGTTCTCAGTGTAGCACACAAGGATTGTGAGATTTACCAAGTCTAAATAAAACAAGAGTAAAATATGTTATGTGGAGCAGCATGCAAATATTCAATGAAAAATGAATTCATCCATCCTAGACCTTCTCAAATGGCCTTTAATTGAAACTATCTCAGTTGATGATATGCTTTCACCACTTACTTCTCAACAAAATCCAGCAACCTATAACCAATCAGTAATTCTCAACCGGGGCAATCTTGCCTCCAGGGACAGTATCAGGAGACATTTTTAATTGTCATAACTGGCAGGTGTGAGGAGTGACTCTGGTGTCCAGTGGGTAGGGGCCTTGGATGCTGCTAAACATCCTACAAAGTACGGGACTGTCTCCCACAACAAATAATGATTCCACCCAAAAGGTTATTAGTACCGACACTGAGAATCCCTGGCATGGATCCAGGTATAGTAAGTCTGAAAAAGTTAGGATCTATATGCAGCCAGCCCTCCACATCTGCAGGTTCTACATCAGCAGATTCAACCAACTGTGGAACAAAAATATTTGGAGAAAAATAAAAACAATAAAAATAACAATACAATAATAAATATAAAATTTTTTTAAAAATACAGTGTAACAACTATTTACATAGCATTTACATTGTCTTAGTTATCAAAAGTACTCTAGAGAATTTAGAGTACTGCATAGGGCAAGACATGCCTAGGTTATATGCAAATGGTATGCCATTTAATATAAGCATTTGGGCATCCTCAGATTTTTGGTGTCTGCAAGGGTTCTGAAACCAACCCCCGACAGACATTGAGGGACTGACTCATAACAGACTGACTAGTGAGCTAATTATAGCTTCTTTGCTACCTCCAAATCCGACCTAATTGTTTTCTTTTCTGGTGGCTTCCATCCTCAAAAAGGCTTTTATCCTTTTCTAAAGACGTTAATTTAAATTAAGTTTAGTAAGAATTTGAGTTTGTTTTCAAGTGTATGGTGCAGTGGCAGGTATCTGAGCCCTCAGTTCAAGTTTTAGCTATCTAACCCAGCAACTCTTTTGTAGTTATGAACAAATCTTTAGCCTCTGTTCTTATATAAAATGATCCCTTGCTCTGTGAAACCTTTACGTTAATTACTGTTTCTTATTAGCCCACTCAATAAAGAGAATTAATCATTTTAAAACACCAGGGCCCCTTTCCCACTTTATCAATTTATCCCTTCCCTTCTTTCCACAGATTAGATTTTTATTAGTTGCATATTGAATTAAAAATCTTTTTGGTGCCAAGGAGATGCTAAGTTCTTGAAGTATTGTTCAGGATACCAAAGGCTTTTGATTGCATCTTTCTTTTTCTTTCCCAGAGTTGGAGGAAGAGTTCCAGAGGTCGGTATTCCTTGTAGGCTGCTCCACCAGGAGCACAAATACATCTAGCATTTCAAGTTCCTTTAGAATCGAAAGGCATCCTCTACAAGAGCACTCCATGCTCAGTAGGTCTAAAACTACCACCTGGAGTGCCCATAGCCACTCCTAGCCAGTCCAGGCAAGCCCATGCCCAGCAGAAGTCTCAGTTGCCCCCCGCCCCATTTCATTTCTTAGCAATCCAGAGCTCTGTCTCAATTCAGCCAACATTTGCCAAACACTAGCTGAATCAGAGACTCAAGGAAAGAGGGCAAGGCAGTGCAGATGTGGTCAGTAAGCTACACACCTTGTCCTGAAAGTGTCCCTACTTATACAGGGTCCCATTTCCTGTGTTACATTGTGATCCTGCAATGAATTCACTCTGTAACTTTGGGCGAGCCCTTTCCTAACTCTGGCCCTCATCTATAAAGAATATAGTGTGGGCCGATGGTCTCTAAGACACTTTAGCTCACATCTTCAGTGGTTCTTTGAACCTGTGGAAAGATCTACAAAGAGCAATATGGAAAAATAGTATCCTGAGAGCTCAGAGGAGTGAGAGACTGCTTCTAGCTAAAAACAAATTCACAGGGGAGCTCTGATGTACAGACATCTTTGAAGCTGTGCCTTGAAGGAGGAGTAGAATTTTGTCAGGTGGAAATGAAATATGGGTAAAGAAAAATATTCCAGGTCAAGGAAGGATATTAAGGATGGAGACCAAAAAAATGTAGGGTCTAAGTCAACTAAAGCAGCAAAAGTATAGGATATGGGATGATGTTTTGTGAGGTAGAATAATAAAACATAACTTGAGATCAAACTATGGAAACTTTAAATACCAGCCAAAAAAGTTTGGATATTATTGAGTAATAGAAAGCTGATTAATTAGATAAGTAGATTTGAGCTATACTTTAATAGCATAAAAACTGGGTTGGGAGGAGACTCATGCATGAACGTATGAAATTCTGCATTAGTTTGAGAGACAAGAAATGAAGGCTCGAACCAAGGCAATATCCACAAAATGAAAAGGAGGGAATAGAAATAAGAGAAATGAGGATTTGGAGCCAATTAGATGAGAGTTTATGAGGAAGAAGGAGGAATAGAAGATAGTACCAAAGTTTTGAGCACAAGAGACTAAAAAAAGGGCACACAAAAATAATAAAATCAGAAGTGGGTACAGTTTGGCTGACCCAAGGAATTCTATTTGTAGCATATTGAGTTCTGAGGGAGATAGCTAAGAAACTGTCATAAAAATCTGGCCTGAAGTTCAGAAATGTAGAGATACATCTGAAATGGAGGATATGAATGAATGAAACTGGTCCATGGGATCATAGAGAGCAGATGAGGACAAATGCTTGAACCTGGGAAATACCTGCACAGAAAAAGTATGAGATCAGCAAAAAAAGAGTAAAGGGCCAGAGGTGGCTCATGCCTGTAATCACAGCAATTTGGGAGGCCAAGGTGGGAGGACTGTTTGAGTCCAGGAGTTCAAGACCAGCCTTGGCAACAAAGTGAGACTCTGACTCTACAAATAATTTCTTTAAAAAATTAGCTGAGGGTGGTGGCATGAGCCTGTGGTCTTAGCTACTTGAGAGACTGAAGCAGGAGGATTGTCTGAGCCTGGGAGGTTGAGGCTGTAGTGAGCTGTGATTGTGCCACTGCACTCCAGCTTGGGTGACAGACTGAGGCACTGCCACAAAAAAAAAAAAAAAAAAAAAAAAAAAAAGAGAGAGAGAGAGAAGAGCTAAGAAAGGAAAACCAATCATAGAATCTCAAAGTCAAGCAGTATCTAAAAGGAACCAAAAAGGCATCGTAGAAGCAAGGACAGAAGAAGATTTCATGAAGAACAAAGAGTACATAAAGAAGAACCAAGAGGCTCTGGTGTTTGCAGCTTCTGGAGGAAGGGGTTGTTGTGGTGAGCCTGCACAGCTCACCCTGACTCTTCTGGTTTTCTCTCCCAGCCTGGTGCAGTGAGCAGGATGGCATAGTCAGCGGGGCTTAGGGGGAGCTCCAATTACCAGAAAGCCCCCACCTTTATTATGAGAGCAAGCAGTGAGTAACCCCCCTTGCACTCCTCCTTACTCCCACCTCCAGTCTGGCTGTGCCCACTAATTGGACTGTGATAGTAATTTTCTGTCTAGAAATGACGCCCTCTCCATGATCTGCCTACAGACAGTGTGTCTGGAACCTGCTGGTGCCAGAGGAAATGCATATGTTGCTCCATTTTACCCGCCTAGATGTTGAATCTCGACACCACATTACCTGTCAATGTATTCTTTAGAAACAGACCCATCGGTGAGTGGATTTTCACA